CTAATTTAATCATACCCAATCACATTTCAATTAAATATACCATAAAATTACATAAATTCTAACGAGCATAAAACATTAAGCAATTTCGGATTTGGCCGCCGATAAGGCCTTCAATTAGCAGTTTAAACATAAAACAGGAACAGATAGTTTACTGACAAACAGATAGAAATGCATTCAAACTAATACGTTCAATCAATCAGTTCAGGATTTCAATCAATCAGTCAGTTAACATGCTTAATCATAGATTCACACTAATCAGTGGTCTTATCAGTAAACAGTGGCGAGGGTTGTCACATATACGATATGTCTTTGTCTTCGCATTCCATTTCTTCTCACGCACTTTTAAAACTCTCTTTTTCTTTGACTGACTGGGAGCTAATGTGCTCTGGCTATCATGGCCATCGTCAACCAACTCAAATGCACATGGGTCACGATAGTAAGATATATCAATTTTCTTATGTCCTCGACGTGTATTAGGCTTCACATCAGGCTTAATAAGGAAAGTGGTCGTTGGATTTGCAATTTCTCTCAACTTCTTCAACATATCCAATTGCGTAGCAATATCAGACTCATTGAACCACTTAAAAATCATCTCAAGTTCTGGGATACAAGTCAATTCCAATTTCTCAACCTTCGAATTATGCACACATATAGTAAGTCATGTCCAATGTACATGTATGCTACTGAGTGGAATAGGACGGCCTTGTCTCATGTAATCTAGAATCTTGTGCGCACAAGGTAAACCATGCGTGCGCGTAAGAACACACCCACAAGCTGCAACATCAATTCCAATCGAATTTGTATCTTACTTTCTACCAACACATACTCTAATGCACAAATATACACATTACCCCGAAGCTCTCTGAATTGAGAAGGTTTGGATTGATGTTCCACAACAGTCAAACTCTTCTCGAATGATGCTTTTAGTTGAATGTACTGCAACTCAAGTAGACAATGTATTTTTAAAATGAAATCTCGAATGTCGTTTGACTTGAACTTAATTGCCTCTTCAATCTAGCATGAGCACTCTCAACCCTGTTTATATGGATGTAAACAAAAAATAGTCAAGCATAATAATTAAAAATAACAATATAATTTATAAGAAAATAAAAAATAAAAAAAAAGAACAAATATTATCAATTGGTTATAACATTGCCAAAAATGTATACACATGTCTATATGTATCACAATGAATTTTTCTTTATACGGATTTAACCAACTCACAGTAATATACTTGATTGCCTCCGAATAGTTATTGAAATCCTTATGCAGTATTACAAGGTGATCATTGTACTCCTCCTCAGTCGATTACAATACTAAATAGTTCCATGTAATGTTAAACTTCTCCCATTTTTCTTTTGTCTCAAATATTTTCTTGCATTTCGCCAATACATTTTTATTAATATGCCAACGACATAACAAACGTCAAGCATTCGAAAAGGTGTTACCAATGGCATTCATCAAAGCAAGCTCTCTATGTCTGTGATAATGACTTTAGGTAAAACACTGTTGTCCATAAGATCACGCAATGTTTGCAACGCCTACGCATAATTATCAACCCAGTCAGTTTGCAAGTATGTGAAAGCCACGGAGAATGTCATATGAGTTGATGTCACTCCCGCAATTTCAAGAAGAGCATGTCTATTCATCTTATATGTGCAATCCATAATCAACACACGAGGGAATGTACGAAGCAAATCCAAACTCACTGGATGTGTCCAAAATAAGTTCGTGACAGTCATAGAGCCTTCCTCACATCGATGATGCTCAATGTACTTATGTTTCGCTAATTTACCCAGTAGCTGTTGCATCTGGGATCTATCGGTAGATTCCTACATCGATGTCGTACATTGTGAAATGTCTTCATTGTGCTCATATTAAGGGCATCCCTCTGTTTAAATGTAATGAGTATCTCTTTTGGTCTTATTAGGCTCTTTGACATCTACTAACAATGACTTTTCATTGGCTGACTCTCCCTGGATATGAATGTCCTTGGAGATGCTCCGCAGCTGGATGATTATGTAGTCCGCAAACTACATTCAATGTCCATTCGTCGTTTGTTTTCAACTTGTATGCTCTCAAATCAAATGGACATTCGCACTTCTTCGTACCAGTTTGTCTCAACAAGTCTTTCGAGCTATCTTTCAACTTCTTATGCAATCTATACTTCCCACTTTACTCACAAGCAAGATAAATTCTTGGTCTGTTGCGACCGCCACCATAGTCCAACGTCCTTATAAAAATGACAAAGTCATTTGTCCTTTCAATATCACGTACCCAAGTGAGCAATTCATCTTTGTTGTCGAAAACCTATATATAATGTCACACAACTTTCATAAAAACAAACTAAACAAACTAACTAATAAAAATTATGAACTTACGAATTTCATGTTAAAGGTTACCTGTTTAGCTGTAAAATGACTAGTACAATCCACCATAATATCCGATCAAACCTCAGTTTCTTCAGTGCATGCCATCTAAAAAAGAAGGGAAAAAAAACTTGTATTCGGTTGTGCCGAAAATAATAATAACATTCGGCACTTAACTACCGAAATAAAATAACAAATTCTGTATTTAAGTATCGAAAAAAATTAAAAAATTTGGAACTTGACAATCGAACTTAATTATGTTTTTCGTATTTCAAGTATTGAAAGATAAATAATATTTTGGAAGTTGATTTCCAAATATAGTGATGAAATTTAGCACTGGTTAACCGTCTGAAAAAAAAAAAAAAAAAAAAAAAAAAAAAAAAAAAAAACTAACCTTTTCATTACTGATTTTGCTGTCACCAGACATATTTTTGCTTGAGTTTGAACTTCTATTGGTTTGCAACTATTCCATATCAAAATCAAGTAAAAATTGTGAAACTAATAAGAAAATTATTTAAATAATAGAGTATAAACCTAGAGACTAAAAACAATATGAGAGATATTTTGAGAGTATTATTTTGTAAGCAATAAATGAGTTTAGAGTGTGTAACAAGCAAAGTGACAATAATGGAAAAATTAGTGTTTAATTTTTTTTAACTCAAAGGGTATTGAGATTTTTTTGATCTTAAAATATGTGTACGGAGAATTTTTCTACATAGTATTATGGGTGTTGCTAGATGTCTATTATGGTCATTTTTATTCAAGATATAATTGTCATTAAATTAATATTTCATTAAGTGTGTGTCCTAAACTAATTAAATATGTGAAAATAAAATTTCCCAGAGAAAATAGAGTGATTTTCTATTTGTTATATATATATATATATAATATTTTGGTCATTTTATTTACGCTGTGTTTGGTTCGGGGATTTGAGAAGGGATTTTGAAAGGGAAAGAAAAAAGTTAGGTAAAATGTGAATAAAATATACCTACATTTCACGTAGTTTCACACATATTTTCCCTTTCTCATTCCAAATCCCTCTCTAAATCCCTCAACCAAACACAACATTAAGGTTATCCTTTTAAATAAAGTATTCCAGTGCATGAACTTTCGGCCTAACAAAATTGAAATTTAAATTTATAGAACAAGTGCCCTTTTCAAAAACGTCAAAATTTTACCTATCTTTGCATTGTTTTGTTCTTGCACTATTCAAGAACAAAGATAGAAGTGTGTCGCTTCATGGTGTTCAGTAGATCAAGAAAGCTGATTGACAGTTGTAAGTCTTCTCGTCTATTTTGTAATCATGATTCTCATAGTAAATTTTATTGGGATGTTGGTTCCGTGATTTTTTTCTCTATTGGAGATTTTTTCAATTGGATTTTCTACATAAATTACTATGTTATTGTGTCAAGTATTTTATGGTTTGTCAAATTGAACAGAGTTCAAAATTAACTAATTAGTAGTAAACAAATTTAAGAAAAAATTGGCCTACTCACACCCTTCAGGCATAATTAATTGAGACTTCAATATTAGTATTAGTTCGATCATTAGAGTTGATTCTTGTTTTCTTCTATATTAGATTCTATAATATAGTCTGAATGGAAAGAGAGACAAGTTTCTGTTTGAGATCACTAGAAATAATTTTCGCCCCTAACCAGAGCAATTTGGTGATCTTGATGCAAACTACTTCTTCCACCGAGGAAACTGCGATGCTAGAGTCCTATATTTCACCATGTAATTGCAGAACCACTGTTATTGTTTTTATTTTTAAAACCGAAATACAATTTTTACATCGATTCTATTTTTAAAGTTATGCGAAAAGGAAAGTCACTAATATTGTGTTTAGTTAGGAAATTTGGGAAGGAATTTAGAAAGGAAAAGAAAAAAAGTATGTAAAACTAGATGAAATGTAAGCATTTTTTATTCACATTTCACCTAACTTTTTCCTTTTCCTTTCCCTTTCCAAATCTCTCTTCAAATATCCCAAATCCCCCAACCAAACACAGCGTAAGTGACCGGAACGGATGACTCCACAACACATAACAAGTGAAACAAATAAGAAGTGATGGGTAAAATTTGACCCCTCCAAACTACCGATTAAAAAACGAGAATCATTTAATTGATTGACATGCACATGCTACAACCAAAAAGCCCCATCGGATACGAGGTTGCTATTGTGCCTTCAAACTACGCACCCTTTTGGTTGCCTCCATCCCAACTCCCTCTTTCCAACTTCCAACCAATTTTGTCACTCATGACCCCTTTTTCTTTTACATATAAAAGTATCCATTGAATGGGTCGTAAAACTTCAACCATTCTCATCTGTATTGTTTCAAGTTATGTCTACAAAGCACTTTTGAGTACTTCTAAAGCATTCAAAATATTACGGAAATTGATTTTGAGGCTGAAGATTCCCATTTCTTATATGTTCTATTTCCCTTTAATCTGAAACATTTTTTGACCTATATGAACTTACGGAAGATTCTGATCAGAGCACATGGGTGTAGATATGAAGAAGATACAAACATCTTTTGGCTAACAGGGACTTTTTCTAGCAGCAGCACAAAATGGTTTAGTCTTGAAGGCACAGAAGGCATGACAATATTCATGGTCAAAATTCACAAATCAAGATTACCAACACAAGCAAGTGGACTAGATCTTAGCAAGTAGCAAAACTACCAAACAACAACATATGCAACAATAAGTTGAAAAAGTGAAAATAAAAAATTTGGTACTGAGTATTCTGGAGAGACAATACCAGCAATAATACTAGACAAATTCAAACCGAACAAAATGAGACACATCATCCATGAAAAGAAATAGAGAAACATTATTTAAGGGGAGAACTAAGAGCTAATCTGTACTCTACCACTAGTAGCACATAGCAGCCACCCAATCCGCTTGACCAAGCACTGGCCACCCAAATAGTAGAATTTTGGATCAGAAGACACTTCCTTTGTAAGCTGAATTATCATTTGTAACAGGAGAGAATATCAAAATAATTCCTAAACAAGCCACACCATCACCAACAAGAATGCCCCAAGTTAATCTGCTCTCGACTGTCCAGCACGAGAAGAGAGGATAATGCCGACAATAAGGCCATAGAGGGCAAGCGCTTCAGCAAAGATGAGAATGAGGATCATACCAACAAAAAGTTTTGGCTGCTGAGCATTGGCTCTGCAAAATACATTATTAGAATTAAAAAAGCTACTATTTACTCAAATAAAGGAAATAAGCAGTACAACCAACCAAAAAGTGTCGCTTCCAATCAAATTTAAATCATGATGGTTTGGCTCAGTATTAAATGAAATTCAAACAGTATGAAATATACAAAAATCTTCCCAATTCACAAGGAACAAGCAAGAGTAAGTGCAAACAACCACCGACGTAGAGATTTCGTTTAAATCTGTTTGCCAATAAAACAGTAATATAATTCATTTATGCTTACGGATGGTAAGATCTCACTGCATCCAAGTTTAAACAGTACAAGTTTCCTTTATTACAAGCCCTACTCCTATCATTCCTCCCTCACTTACTATCTATTCCACACAGCCTCAGCGTCATAGAAATCAAGCCACCCAAAGCACTCTCAATTCCCAAACTATACAAAACAACAATCTTTTTCAAATAAATGCAGCAGTTACAGAAAGCCTTTTAAAACAAATGTGAACAACCTAACCATAAACCATTAAGTGGGTTTTGCAGAGAGGGGGGCAAAGAATAATTTTACAAACTTTGGAGGGGTTAAGTAAAATTATTTAAATTTTAGGAGGGGCCAATATACTATTCCTTTAACATAAATACCCACACATATACATAAATATATAAGGCCCAGGTAAAAAATTACAACCATTGAAAGCATTGATCAACTCAAAAGATTGATACAACAGTACACAATATAATTAACAACACAGCTAAATCATTAGATTTGTTGAGTAGTGTGGATTATGATATGATGATAAGTATTGAACAATAACTACTCGACTCCAAATTTTTTACTAAAGGTAATTTTGGTATTTCACACTTGTACCATGTTGCCCTAATATAGTTGAAGTGTCGCATTTCTCTATACTGTAACCCTTTCAAATCAGAGTAAAACAGTGGGAGTGTTTGTTTAGATTTTTTTGAGCCAGCTTATAACTTCTATCTTTGAAAAAGCTATTTTGGACTGCTTGGTTAAACTTATTTCAAACAGTTTCTGATTCTAACAACTTATTTTAACTCAAAAAAACTGATTATGAAAAGTTGTTCACTCCTTACTTCTAATTATCAGCTTCTGCTATGAGCATGTTAATTTATGATTATACTCTTAAATTTTTTTTATTTTTTTAAAAACAAAAAAAAAAGATCCAAACGGATTATAGATTATTATTATTTTTTTTATGAGAACTGTAGATAAGTAATAAGCAATAAAAAATAAAAGTTAATTGAAAAAGTTACTTCAAAATTTATTTAACAAACACTACTCGAAAACTTAAATCTATAATCCCACAGTTACACCAAACAGATTAACAACTTCTTATTGAAGTCATAATTTATATCTGTTAAATTATAATTTATAATCTGTTTCAACAGCTACACCAAACGGGGCAAGTAGCAACCGTGGACGTAAACACATCCCGGCATGAACTACGTAAACCTTTTTGCAGATTCTTATTTTATTCACATTTGTGTCTGACCGATCCTGTTGATGTGAATCAATTCCTAACAAGATTCAGATCAAGACACTTGAAGCACCACAAATAACATACAAATTCATGTCATAATTCTTTTTAGTTTCTAGCAATCTTGTAACTTAATGAATCACAAGATATACAACATTCAGACTTTTTCAGTTGAACCAAGACGTCACAAATCAAGCAATTTGACAATGATACATGCTACAAATAATTAAAAAAGATAGAAACTTCAAAAATAAAACTACACGAATCTTTCATGAACAATGATCTGGAAATACACACAATGAATCAATTAAAATTGTAGAGAGAGAGAGGAAGAAGTACCTAACACCGGCATCGCCGACGATGCCAATAGCCATACCAGCAGATAGACCAGCGAGGCCACAAGCAAGACCGGAAGAAAGATGAGCATAGCCATCAAAAAGGTAATAAGACTTGGCCTTAGGGTTAATACCAGTACTGATGATCACAGCAATAATCAATCCATAGATACCCAACACACCAGCCATAACCACTGGAACAATCGACTTCATCACAAGCTCTGGCCTCATCACACCCATTGACGCCACTCCAACGCCACTCTTCGCTGTCCCATACGCAGCCCCCATACCTAAAAAACACAACCATATATAAGAATTGCAGATCCAAAAACAACAACAACAACAACAACAACAAGATCAGGTTCAAATTGAAATCGGACAAGGGAGATTGAGAGTTGGTGGTGTTACAGGAGAAGACTAGGGCAGCTGCAGCGCCGAGGAAGCCGAAGAACGGTGCCGTTTCATCGCCGCTGAAGGTTGAAGCCATTGTTGTTGTTTGTGGTTTCGAGGGTTTGGAATTTGCAGAGAAATCGATCGGATCTGAGAGAGAATTCTGTGAATTTTCCTGTTACTAGTTCTCTCTCCGCAGAACTGGGTTTGTAGTTCGATGCCTCTCTTCTCCTTTTCGTGTCTGTAATCTGCAAGAAAATTTTTAATATAAAATAAAATAAAAGGCAAATTACGTGGACAAGTAGGAGTATTTTAATCTTGGTGGCCACCATTAAATTTTAAAGGGAGACTGACCCAAAGGTCCAAGCCCAACATATCATACCCCATTTAGACTCAAAACAAATTTAATACTCCATTAAGTCCTCAAATTAACAATAAGACGAAAATACCCACAATATATCATCCAATTTACACGCGCGCAACCATCTCCCACGTCCCCATCATCTCAGTCCGATCACTACATTGTCACGTCTCCGCCGCTCGAAATCGACTCCTCAGTCCTCCATCTCTCTTCCGTTCAACTCCATCCCCTCTAAAACCCTAACCCTAACCAGAAAACGTAACCGTTCATCTTCATCACCCACAATCATCTCAGTCTGATCAGTACACTGTTACATAACCACCGCTCGAAATCGCATTCTCAATCCTCCATCTCTCCTCCGTTCGACTCCATTCCCTCTGAAACCCTACCCTAACCACAAAACCAAACCGTTCAACTTATTATTTTTTTCATAAACGTAATATTTCAATATAATACTTTAAAAACATAACGCTTTAATGTAACACATTAAAAAATGAGATCTTTTTCAGTAAATCCATTATGTAAGAGTGTTATTCCATAAGACACATAGTGTTTTATAATATTCCATTAGGTCCATTTCATACAAAAAGACCATAAAAACCCTCAAACAAACAGGCGGCTCTCTCTCTTTGAATGTAATAACCGTCTCTCTTCCCCTCTCTATTATTGCGCAGGAAATCACGCACAGTACCTCTATAGTCCAGAAATCAAAATCCATATTCCACATCGCCTCAACGCCCAGAAGACTGTGTTCGCTCCATCGTCGCAACGTCGCATCGCCTCATCATCTTCTCCGTCGTCCCTACGCCGAGAAGACTGTCTTCGTTCCATCGTCGCATCGTCTCATCGTCTTCTTCGTCGTCCCTACGCCCAGAAGACCGTCCTCGTTCCTTCGTCTCATCTTTTCGTGGTCTCATCATCTTCTTCGTCGAAATGGGCAAAAAACGTAAGCATTCTACTCATTCGTGTATTTAAACCGTAAACCTCTTTATCAACAACCAACATTGTGAACTTTTACAAATATCCCCTATTTCTATACATACAATATATAGGAGTCCATATTGTTCATACCCTAACATTTAATCTGAACCCCTCAATCGTAATCCCTAATTATATAGATTTTTTCAGTCAAAAACATTACAGTTGCCATTACATTGTGTTCACAACTGTGAACATTCCAAAATGTTTCTGTTGTAGTTGTAGTTGTTGTTATTGAAAGATATGAACATTCACATTGATTGAAAATGGTTGCATAATCAAGTTTTTCCAGATGTTATTCGGTTGTTGTTCAATGCTGTGAACATTCACATGATTTGGAAAATGTTTTGGCCAATTCTGTTTTTTGTTGTTGTTGATAAAAGATGTGAACATTCACATTGAGTGAAAATGTTTGGGTAACCAAGGATTAAAGTTGTTGTTGTTTTATGCTGTGAACATTCACATTGATTGAAAATGTTTGGCCAATTCTGTTGTTGTTCTTGTTGTTGAAAGATGTGAACATTCACATTGACTGGAAATTTTTTTGAAAATCATAAATTATTGGTGCTGTTGTTCTATACTGTGAACATTCACATGGATTGAAAATCATTTTATATGTTTATGTTAACATCCACAGGTTCTTCAATGGTGTTCATGGTCGTATAAAATACATTATTTTTCACACACTCACACAATATGTATATTGTGTTTGTGCTGACACAGTCAACATAGACATCCATGTACAGATGTGAATGTTCACATCCACACACAAAATATGGTTATTCACACCCATGCACACAACTGTGAACATGCACATCAATGGCAATGCTGTGAATGTTCACATTTGTTCCACTATGCAAATCACATGAGCCTTGACTTAATTTTTTTAAAATGCTCTATTTTGCAGATGTTGCACAAAAGAAAACCTTAAAGAGGAAGAGAGAGGAGTACCATGTCAAGGAAGAAACCCTATAAACAAATACTAGCACTAATGTCGACATGCGCCATGTGAACTATAGATCTAACATGACCGGACTGGTAAAATTAATGAAAAGCACCAAGTTCACTCAAGCACAGCTTGGCTGCCTGCAACAAACACCATTTTGGAATTTGTTAGATGCATTGAGAAACAATCAGATCGACCTTGACAAATGCATGAAGTATGATGATGATGTTGTGCATGTCCTACAAACATACAAAGCTTCAAAAGATGTCTTCTACATTGGGGAGAAGAAGATGAACATACACAACAGCGACATCAAGCTGATTTTTGGTGTCGACTGTGGCAGCAAGCCGATGGACATATCATATGGTGCGAAACCAAAGACTGGCATTATAAAAAAAAGATGCAAAAATGTCAGCCGGTTGACTTCAAAATGGATACACCCTTTTGACCGAGGCATTGAAAGGCAAAAAGAAAGATGACAACGAAGAAGTCGCCCGACTAGTGTGCATGTATACTTACCAAAAGCTTTTTTTCTTAACAAGCGGAGAGACAATAGGATGGGGCTACTACGCACATATGGTCTCATTGAAAAGCATGCAAGAATATGATTGGGCGAAGCAAATTAGAACAACGTTGACATTGTCCATTTCCCAAAATGACAAAAAACCAACAAAAGTCACCGGCTGTGTCATGTTATTGATGGTAAGTACCCATGTTGTCAAATAATACCATTCACATGTAATTCAGTGTTGTTTATCTAAGCCAACTGTGAACATTCACAACAGTGCCACTGATGTGAATGTCCATAGGCACTTATGTTTCACAGATGTGAAAGTTCACATCTGAACCACTAATGCAAATGTTCACATTCACTCATAACATAGTACTGTGAATGTTCACAACAATGCCACTGATGTGAATGTCTGTAGGCACTTTTGTTTCACAGATATGAATGTTCACATATGAACCACTGATGCGAATGTTCATATTCACTCATAAATATACTAATGTGAACGTTCACAACAGTGCCACTGATGTGAATGTCCATAGGCACTTATGTTTGACAGATGTGAATGTTCACATCTAAACCATTGATGTGAATGTTCACATTCGCTCATAATATACTACTGCGATATTCACAACAGTGCCACTATTATTAATGTTCACATATGTTGACATTACTATGCAAATGGTAAATAACAATATGTGTTTGTTATTTTATTGAAGTATTGGTTGTGTGAGCACACAACTATCCTACAACCTCACAAGCCCAATGCTTTTCCTCGTTGTGTGAAGTGGGATCTGACTGCTTTATAAAAGAAGATGAGAACCACCTCTTTGACTGATTTGGGTTTTAATGAGGTACAGCCTTCAACTACTGATCAAAACATTCACATTATAACACCACCCAAATATATACGTTAAGTAACATAATTTTTTAATTTTCAGGTTAATGCCGGTGAACTCTTTGAAATCCCAACAGAATTACAAAAGTTCAAGCGTAAAACATTGAAGGTAGAGCCTGAAATTTATGAACCAGCCACAACATCTCCCAACCTATCTAACATGAAGGAAGAACAACACGATGGCAACAACTCCCACTTTTCTGGAGATGGGGTCGAGCTAAAGGACAGTGATGAGGACATTCACATTCCGTTCAGCAACCCACATGACGACAGAGCTATTGTCATACCAAACACCAAACAACCTAATTTCATTGATGTGCTTATCAAAGAAAATCGAAAGGCTTGGGCCGTCATAAGGCAATGGGAAGCAAAGTACAAACACCTTCAATTTTCATAGGAGTTAAGAGCAAGAGTCATAGCTGATCTTGAACATAAATTGTTCAACCAGTCCAGCCCACCCAACATGAATACCAAAATAAAAAAGTGCATGGAGCAGAAGGATGAAGAAATAAAACACTTAACGCAGCTGGTCATCGACTTAGAATGCGAGAAAATAATGCTTTAGGACCTTTACGATAAACAGTCAGTCCACATTGTTACACAGGCTGTGGCACAGAAGCAACCCCCTAGCCCAATGCAACACAATATCAGCCCACCTTCTAAGGTGAAGCATATAAAGGAAAAATATCGAAAAGAACATCGCTTGCCTGACTTCCAGTACCCAGACTTACCTGGCCGAAAGCAGCCCCATACAGTCGAAATGGTTAAAGATGTCGAGAAACACCCACCAGCGAAGCAACCAAAAAAATTAACCCTGACCAACAAGTTCAAAGTTTAGAGCAAGATGTCCAAACAAGACAAGCAAAAGGTCCAAGCTTTACAAAAGAGTGGAGGCGATGAGTAAGTGGCTGTACAAACACCTCATGTTAACAATCACATTCCACAATTGTCAATATTCATCACTGTGCTTATTTGTTTTGGTTTGTTCAGATCTATGCAATGTAAATATTCACATTGGTTTGTTCATAATACACAGGCTGCTGGTGTGGAAAAGAGATTCAAAGGCTACACATGTGTATTTTGATGACATTGTCAACCTTATCAAGGAGGAATCGATACACAGCAATGTATGCCATTACAAAGATGATTCACTCTTCATGCATATACGCACAGAGACACACACACACCCAAAGCCACAGACACACATTCTTTACCCACCACAAATAAAATAATATGACCCATGTTTGTGTAGCTCATAGATGCATATGCCGAACTATTACATGAACAACAAGAGGTCGTCAACCCAACTTCGGATGAAGCGTCATTCATCTTCACGAGCATGTGTTTGGTAAAATATATCATTCTATTATTTCTAATGTTAATATGAAACTTCACAGTCCATTAATTACTTGTCTAATGTGTACAGAAAGTGATACGAGAGTACCATCCTCGCAAAAGGAGTAAACACATTGATGCACATGTCAAAAACTACCAAGGAGAGAGATACCTACTATTCCCATTGCATCATGAGTACCACTGGACGATAGTTGTGTATGATGCTAAAG